CAATTTAGGGACGAGAATCAGATAGCGGTGGATATAAAACAACAAATTGCCGATAGTAAACTGAACATAAAGATTAGATGGGTTAAAGCCCACGTTGGCATCAAGGGAAGCGAGAGAGCAGATGCTTTGGCTAAAAAGGCTACTGAGTTAACAAATATTACCTATGACAAAATCCCAAAATCATACGTTAAGAAAAGGCTAAGGCAAGACACCATAATGACGTGGCAAGACCAATGGTCATACTCAGAGAAGGGGAGATTCACTTTTTGGTTACTCCCCAGTGTAGAAGAGAGACTTACGGCTTTGAGATGGCTTCCAAGAGAGTATCTTCTTACACAGGCATTGACAAACCACTGCAATTCAAAGGAGTATCTACAAAGGATAGGGAAGGCACAGATTATTTCCTGTGAGTGTGGCGGCGGAGATCATACACTTGAACACATCATAAAAGACTGTACGAAAAATGAAGCGGCTTAGGCTACTCTCAATGGACATTTATGGCACACCGACTCTGGATCTATACCATCTGATAAGGAACGACAAGTTAGTACAAGAATTAAGGTCATTATTAAGGAAATCATTGTAAAGTTGGGGTCGAATTGTCGGCAGGGTAGAGGGCGTACCCTGAGTTGTAAATAGTTGTTTGTTATAATGTTTCTTTGTTAAAAGAAGTTTGAGTTAATAAAGTAGTGTTCCCCTGTGGTGCTAGTGCGGAGCAGGGGTGATTCTGATCCCCGATAGGGGAAATGATGATCATTTAATGAAAAAAAAACAAAAAAAAATGTCCCTATCTACTAGACTGGAGATAGTGGATTGCTAAATATGCTGCTATGAATTTTGCTCTTGAAATATTTTGTTCTAAGTGCGGAAATATTGATTTTAACATGTGCTGTTTAGTGGATTACGTTAAAGGAAGTGCCTAGGAACGTAAATTTGTCAAGTAGGACCTTTTAATTACAAAGATTTTTGAATTACAACTTAAAAAGTACCATTTCTGGATAATCGGTACTTCTGGTACTTTTTGACCGGATCGGTCAACGCTACTCTGTGCGCGTTGTTGGATTATAACGGGATCCAAAATTTGGTGGTCCTAGGACCATTTTCGGCTTAGATAACAACATATTTCTGGTTTGCCATGGATTGCGGAAATGGTGCTTCCGGAGACTTTCTGCACAATATCCTTCGGGTATTTCTTAGAAGACGTCAACAGTAATTTTTTGTGAAAGTTTTGTTATTCTAACTTTATTAGAATTCAAACTATGGCCATTCTAGTATTTCGTTCCAAAATCAACATCCAACCAACATCCGCTTACGTAGTTAAGGTCATTGACCTCTCTACATAGATCATAAGTACTGGAGCTAAAGTTGTAGTTTTAAAGATAAGTTTAATATTAATATATAGATAACTATATATTTTTGGAATCGGGATTAAATGAGGAATATTTTTATAATAAGTAAAATTATATAGGATAATTATATAAAGAGCAATTATTACTTATTTACTTAAATTGATATAAAATAAGTGTTTTATTGAAATAACTGGTTTAAGCATATTAGTATATAATGAATTATGATTTACTGGTTATTATGATTATTATATAGATATATATAATGCATACATATTTGTTCTTTGTATTAATATTCTTTCTTTTGGACTAATTTGCATTTCTTTTTAAATACTGATATTATATTTATTTTTTTTGGTGATTATTATAATGGGGTCTTTAATCTTAGAAAACTTTCATTCTAAAACAAATGCTATAATTGAGGAGATACAGGAGTATGCCATAATTAACCCTAACGGTTGAAACACCTAAACACTTACAATATATATTGGATCAGTGTAATAAAATTATTAACTTAGCTGAAGAAGCTATATCAGGTATTGAACTTCCAAAACTTATAGGAAAGAAAGTTGATTCATTATTCAATAAAGATGATTTAGAGAGGATTATGAATCCACAAATCAAATTAAATACGCAAAAGCAGATTATAGAGCAATTGGATAAAATATATAATACTATGTTCAACTTAGATACAGCTGCAACAATAATCAACAACCAAAAGGCTGTTATAGAGAAATTACAAGTGGTTGAGGATAATATTGCCAATCCAGCTTTGACTGAATATAACAGGGATATACAAAACACAGTTTTAGAAAAATTAAATAAAATTGAAGATAGAGCGACGCAGAATAACTCTCCAGTATTATCATACAGTCATATTGTTAAATATGGCAAACTGTAAAATTAAAACAAGGAAATCAAAAAGAGGTAATACTGGTATATAATAAGGACATAAATAACACAAATAGTGATGTAGTGAGGAAAGTTATGCATATTAAATTACAACCATCACAAATGCAAATAGGTATCGAAAAAATGAGGAAAATTAGAGAAGGTATTGCTGTGGAAGTTAATACAAAAAGAGATGCGGCAGTACTTGAAAAAGCTATTCAAGATGAAGTTCCTGAATTAGTAACACGACATCCTAAGAAAAGATGGCCGCGGTGGAATTTAGAACTTACCAAACATAAGAACATGTATTATGAATATTAAAGTATAATGAGCTTAGTTCCCTGCTGTGCCTAGCGGTGCGGGGAGTACTGATTCCTGTATAGGGAAATGATGACCCCCCAAATGAAAAAAAAAAAAAATGAAATGTCCCTATCTACTGGGGCCGAGACCCTAAGCGTTTATTGTGAGTATTTTCTTTGAGTTTTTCGTTGCTATTCGAGTTGTTTAGTGTGAATCNAAACTATCAAGAACAAGAATTTATTGAACAGTTTAGGATAAAATTTACACTAAGTAATAGAAATGCTTTGTATAAAAACTGGGTAATCCAGGTATCGCCTAATTTAAGACGATTACTGTTGGACATAGATAAAATAAATATAGACTGGTTGCGTTGTAGGATTGGAGACTTCTGTCCAATCCTACAATGTTACAAATGTTGCGGATATAATCACTCAGCAAGAGACTGTCCGCAATCTCAACGTATCTGCAGCCATTGAGTCATTCTTATAACGAATGTCCCAATTATGAAGAACCTATATGTTGTAATTGTGAGCGAGAAGGGTTACAAGACGTTTCACATAACACTAGAGATGGAAAATGCCCCCTACATCAGAGAATTAAGACGTATATAGAATCAAGAACTGACTATGGCTATGAACAATAATAATAAGGTTAATATCCTGCAAATAAATATTGGCAGAAGTGTTTCTGCCACATCATTAGTTAGTAAAAGTCTTAATGATTATGATATTATATTAATACAGGAGCCATATTGTATAAATAATTTACCAGCGTGTCTACCAACATGTACTCCTGTTTTAAAGGTACTAACCATTACCCTTGGTCTATTACCCTTGTTATGAATACTAATTTATCTGTTATGTTACATACGGATTTCAGTGATCGGTATATTGTGGTGGTGGAACTAATGGTTTATAATAAGAGGATAATTTTGATAAATATCTATATACCTGGGGGAAAATTCTGAGGAATTTATTAATAAGCTACAGTGGATTTTAAATGCTTTTGCAGGTTCTTGTATAATTTTGGCTGGTGACTTCAACGCGCATTCCCCAACTTGGGGAGGGGAGGTTTTTGATGAAAGAGGAGGTTTGCTAGAGGAGTTTTTTGGGCGTAATGACTTTAATATTCTAAACAACCTTTCTCTCCACCAACTTTCACCTCACACAGAGGTGAAAATTGGATAGACATTACTGTCTGTAATAACAGTTTATACCCTAGTATTAGTAATTGGAGAGTTAACGAGGAGGATAGTCTAACAGAACATGCTTCTATTTCTTTTGAGATATAAAGTGATTCTAATAACAACAACCAAAGATATAATGAACGCTCAAAGTATATTGTCAAACGTGCAGACTAATTTGCAATTAAAGAATATCTGAACGAAAACTGGATTGTTGATTATTCTGAAGATTATGATAAAGTCGTCCAACAATTAAACTATAATATAGAACTTATAATGCAGGCATGCAAAAAATTTATTCCAAAAGGTACGAACGTAAGGAAAAGTGTTCCGTTTTGGACATCAGAACTAGAGGAACTTCGTAAGAAGACAAGAAAACTTAGAAGACAATTTCAAAGATGCAAGAATGAACAAATACGTGAGGTTTGAAAAAATGTGTACCTTCATAGTCAAAAACAGTATAAAGAATTAATTAAAACTGAAAAAACTCGTAGTTGGAGGAATTTCTGTTCTGAAACATAAAAAAACCCATGGGGATATTTGACAAAGTTGTGTAATAACAAGATTCGTAAGACTACAATTATGACCACTTCCTTAAATAATCAAGCTGTACCTATGACATTAATACAGGAATTATCGTCCCAATTGGATAAGTTCTGTCCTGAGGATGATCAAAACATGGATACAGAGCTCCAGAATTGTATTAGAACAACAACTGACAACACTTATGATACGGAAAATATGCCTCCTTTCAAAAGTCAGGAAATCGGACTGGCATTTGACAGCCTTAAAATTGGTAAAGTTCCAGGTATGGATGAAATAACACCAGAAATAGCCCGGAACATATGGTTCCTCTTTCCGAATTATTTAGTTAAATTATACAATATCTGTCTACAACACTCCGTTTTTCCTAAAGCCTGGAAAGTGGCTAAAATCATTCCGGTACCAAAACCTGGATCTCCAAATAACAAAAGACCTATCTCCCTCTTATCTGTATTTGGAAAAATACTAGAAAAGGTTATACACACTAGACTTACTTGGTTTGTTGAACAAAAGTTTAAACTAAGTAAAAGACAGTTTTTTTTTCCGACCTCAAAAATCCGCAAAGGATGCTATTGAGTTAGTTAGTTAGTTGGTTTTGGTTTTTTGGCACAAGAGCCATATAGGCTAAGCTGCGCCATAACAAATGGTAAATAATTATAATCACCACAAATAACAAACATATGACAAAAACAAATAAATAAATAAACAACTACAACAAAAAAACAAATATATACATATTAATAACAAACAAGAACGAACAAAAAGCTAAAAGATAAATAAATAGATAATTAAATAGGTAAATAAATATATAAATAATTGAATTTCTTTACACAAATTATTGACTTTTAAAAAGTCTAATATATCATAAAAATTGGGCCTCTGACCCAGAATCTGTTTAAAATTTGCATTTCCAAAATGCTGCCTACGCCTGGTCTCAAAAACAGAGCAATCGAGCAGTATGTGTTTTACAGTAAGAGGACAGTTGCAATACTGGCATACTGGCTGCTCGTCACCCTTCAAAAGGTATTGATGAGTCAACCGAGTATGTCCAATTCTCAAACGAGTAATAATAACTTCAGATCTCCTGTTATAAAATTTCTTGTGTGTCCAATTTTCTATCGTAGGTTTGATCTCATGCAGTTTATTGTGGACTTGTGCGTTCCACATATTTTGCCATCTCTCTGCTAGTCGTTTTTTAATGACTAGCTTGAAATCACCTCCTTCAATACGCATTGTGTGCTGTGGAGGACTAGCTGATTTTGCAGCTGCATCTGCTTCTTCATTTCCTCTTATACCAACATGGCCTGGGACCCAACAAAATTTTATAGAGAAATTCCTTGCAAGAAGATGGCTAAACAATTTACGAATTTTAATCACTATAGAGTGAGAACTAGGTTCACACGAGATCAAAGCCTGAAGTGCACTAACTGAGTCAGTGTAAATAACACAGCGACAATGACCTTTTCTGATTACATAGTTTAAGGCTAAGTGGATAGCATGCAGCTCTGCAGTAAAAATAGATGAATTCGATGAAATTTGCTCTGCCACAATTTCATCCTGGCAGACAAAGGCTGAGCCAACATAATCATCCGATTTAGAACCGTCAGTGTAAATGGGAATTAAATACCTATCATTGTGTTGGATTTCTGCAAAGTGCTGTTTATAGACATAGTCTGGAGTTGATTCCTTAGGAAACTGCTTTAAGCTAAAGTCAACATTTATCACAGGAGTAGACCAGGGTGGCGTACTATCAATCTCGGCCTGTGAAACGTTGCTTATGTTCAGGTCGATCGTGCTGCTTACATTCTCCATTCTTATGACGAACGTAGGGACACTGCTTGGGCGAGCTTCAAATAACCTTTTCAGCTGAGTATCTGATACTGTACAATCAACTGAAGGTTTAGTATAAGATTTCTGTTTTAGATAATAAAAAAGAGACAACTGTTCTCTCCTGAGTGACAGTGGAGGCTCATAAGCATCCACGTACAAACTTTGGACGGGGGAAGTTCGGAATGCACCAGTGCACAAACGCAAAGCTTGATGATGGATTGGATCCAGCATCCGAAGAGTAGATTCTCGCGCAGAGCCATAAACAATGCACCCATAGTCCAGCTTAGAGCGAACAAGGGCCCTATAAATCCTGAGCATAGAAACTTTGTCTGCTCCCCAGGATGAGCAGCTTAATACCTTTATAAGGTTAAGAGATTTTAAACATCTACTCTTCAGATTGCGCAAGTGTGGCAAAAATGTCAGTTTTTGGTCAAAACAAACACCCAAAAACTTAGCCTCATTCACAATTGGAATTTTAACCCCATTTAAATATATTTCAGGATCCAGGTGCAAACCACGCCTTCGGCAGAAGTGGATGCACGAGGTCTTCTCTATGTTGAAACTAAAACCATTAATCTTGGACCAATTGTCTATTCGATTTAGGGAGGTTTGCAGTTGTCTCTCAATGAAACTCATGTTGCTAGACTGGCAGGAGATCTGAAAGTCATCCACATACAAAGAGTGTTTCACACTGAAAGGAAGACACTTAGCTATGCTACTAATTTTAATTAGGAACAGAGTCACACTCAAAATACATCCTTGAGGAACACCTTCTTCTTAGACAAAAGACCTACATAGTGTGTTGCCCATTTTAACTTGAAATCTTCGATTTTGCAAAAAGTTTTTTATAAAAATTGGCAAATTACCCCGCAATCCAAATTCATGTAAATCACGAAGTATTCCGTAACGCCAGCANACGTTATGTTGCCCCTCAACTACCAGGATCCCCCTTTCCGGCATACGGGACACCACGCACGGCAAACACGTGGGTGGGCGTTCAGATCCCGGGGATGGTAAAGAGGAGTTTCTAAACCATCTCTGGGAGGTCCCCTCACCACGGACAGGAACCCACATCGAGGGGGATGCTATTGAGGTTATGGTGAACACAGTAAAACACCTATTGGATGAACATAAATATGTACTAGGGGTCAGCCTAGATATCTCAAAAGCGTTTGACAGTGCCTGGTGGCCCCTAGTACAATTGCAACTCCGTAAGATCAGGTGTCCAAACAACATCTATAGACTGTTGCAAAATTATTTCAAGGACCGTACAGCTATTTTAAAATATGGACAACACCAGGTCACAAAAAACATTACCAAAGGATGTCCACAAGGGTCAGTATGTGGCCCATTACTTTGGAATATAATGTTTGACACATTTTTAACGGAAGACTTTGGGCATTCCGGATGTATAGCATATGCAGATGATGTGATTTTATTAATTGGAAGCCGATCTAGACTTGATTTAGAGAATAAATGCAATGATATACTTGACAAAGTAAATGATTGGGGAAGCGATAACAAGCTTCAATTTCATCCCTTAAAAACCCAAGCTATAGTTTTTAATAAACCGGGAAATCCGAATCTTTACTTACGACCTCCAAACATCAAGATGAACGATACTACTATAAAGATTAGTAAAACATTAAAATATCTTGGGATTATTGTGGATTTTCGGTTAAGTTGGGACCAACATATCGAATATATTACGAATCGCACGGGGCTTATTCTTCATTCCTTCTCCCAGGTAGCAAAACGTGATTGGGGGCTATCTGCTGGAGCTTTATCAATCATTTATGACAGTATTTATTCTCCCATCATCTCCTATGCCTGTGGAACTTGGGGATGGGCTATTGATAAAGTCCATCCTAAAAGAAAATTAATATCCTCACAAAGACGAGCTTTATTGTTAATAACCAAAGCCTATCGTACTGTAAGTAATAACAGCCTTCAAGTTATAGCCAGGAAACCTCCTATGGACTTATACATAAAACAAAAAAGGAAATTGCATCAACTTAAATGGGGGAGGAACTCTACAACTTGATTCAATAAGTACTACACATGATGATATTGAATGGTCTTACCCATATCATGATATAACTAATTTCATCGTTCCACTGGATACTAATGGCATTACTACTGGTAAATCTGATTTGGACATCTATACAGACGGTTCCAGACACAATAATATAATAGGATCCTCATTTGTTGTGTATACTAATAATATTGAAATAAATAATCAAACATTCCAGTTAGATCAAAATTGTACTATCTTTCAAGCGAAACTGTACGCAATTAAAATGGCAATATTATGGATTAAACAAACTCACAATAACATGCATATACATATTTTTACAGATTCCCTCTCTGCATATAACATAATATACAGTTCAAAATTGCATCCATTAGTAGTGGATATAAGAGAATTAATACGAGATAACACATGTACTTTTGAAATTTCTTGGATAAAGGCTCACCAAGGAGTCATAAGCAATGAAAGAGCTGATTCATTAGCAAAATCTGCTGCAGAAAACACAGAATTGCCTATTGATTATAAAAAATTGAGTCAAAGTACAATCAAACGTTTAATATGGGAGGAGACTATGACTATTTGGCAAAATGATTGGAATTTGTGTAGCCATCATATTACATATAAATTTTAAATTTATAATTATATATATATATAATTATAAATAGCATACAAAATGAATAATGAGATAACCAATGATAGTGACAAAATAGATATTTACACCGACAGGTCGATAATAAACGACGCTGTTGGATGCAGCATGGTGGTGTATGAAAACTCACTGGAAACGTCACACCAGATCTTTCACCTCGATAATAAGTGCACAGTTTTTCAGGCGGAGTTATTTGCCATCGATAAAGCCTGCTCCACTTAGCACTACAGGAGATTTCCTAATTCTTTTGTGAAGAATTAGGAAATCTCCTGATCAATGGGGCACCCTGCCCTATCTACTGGGCAGGGTGCCCCATTGATGTGTACTGCACTTAACCGTTAGCTATTGACTATCATTTCGGCGAAAGCCCGAGTTTGTCTAGCTTGTTTCTTTGGCACTTATTACTATCCAGGGGAAGCAGAGTCGTACCTCCATGTGGTCCTGTCCGCTAGTAGCCCGAAAGGGCAAAGCTAAACGACTTCTGCGATCTTTTGAAGGCTCTTACAGTCCTTTTCAGGACTATGTCGGCCAAGAGGCCGCACGTTTCGCTTACAGACGAGGGATCGTCTGAGGGAAAGACGAAGACCCAGCCAGTGGACTACAGGTTGGGATTGGTGGAGAACATAAGAGAGGAAGTCAGGAGCTATATGCTTTCTAATGGAGGTTGCAAGCTGGGTGCTGGCGACCATGTGAAATTCGTATGCTCCCAAATTGATAGGATTATTATTCTTCTGACTGAGAAAAGATCTGACCCAGTGCAAGCAGCAGTGGAAAGTCTACTTAGTAAGCTCGACCAGTTAATCGAGGCTCAGAGCCAGTCCGCTCCTTCATACGCACAAGTTGTGGCGAATAAACCATTACGGCCAAAGAAAGAAATCATCATAGTGGAACCACTAAAAGTAAATAGCGACCCAGAAGAAACAAAGGAGAGACTAAAAAACAACATTAACCCTAAACTACATGGAATAGGTATTCAGGCTGTTAGGAAGCTAAGAAGAGGTGGTGTGGCAGTGGAAGTTGGATCAGAACAAGAGAAAAGAAGACTCCGGGAAATTATAGAAGAGAAAACAGGGCTCAAGACGAAAGAGCCCCTCAAGAGACAGCCAAGGATTTTTTTATACGGTGTGGGAAAAGAGACTCAAAGGGACAAAATTCAAGAATGTATTCATAATGCAATGTCTGAAGATGAATTCAAATAGCGCACTAACATCAAGTTTGAATACGGCAATAAGAATAAACCTACGACAAACTGGGTGCTCAAGGTTAGCCCCGACGTCAGAAAATTGGTGCTTTACAACAAGAAAATCAATATTGGCTGGTCCCGCTGTGGAGTGGAAGAGTTCCTCCCGGTCACGCAGTGTTACCAGTGCTGTCCCATTGGACATCTAGCACGGGACTGCAAAGAAAACCCCACATGCAGTCAGTGTGGAGGGGCACACAAGTTTAAAGAATGAAAAATAAAAACAAAATCGAATGTACTAATTGCAAAAGAGAGAAATTGAAGGATCTTGGACACAACGCTTGTTCCAAAAACTGCCCACTCATTGCAAAGATAAGAGATATGCTCATGGCCAAGATGGACTATGGCAACTAACAATAACGGAGTTAATAATGACAGACATTTGAAAATTGTGCAAGTTAACGTTCAGCGTTCAATTGGGGGCACATCAGCTCTTTGCTCTACCCTCGAGAGGGTAGACCTGGCGCTCCTACAGAAGCCTAACTGCATTAGAGGCACACCTGCGTGCTTCAGGACTGCCTACCGTGTCCTTTACAATAGGGACTACTGTCCCTCTACCTTGGCAGTGGTCCGAAACCCAAACATTACAGTGGTTTTCCACAACGAGATTAGCTATAAGTACCTCATGTGTCTTGAGATTGGAGCAGGAGAGGACTGCTTTTTGCTGGTGAGTGCATACTGTCCCATAACGGATGACTTGGAGCCGTTGCTTTCAAACTTGGATAATATCATCAAACAGTTTAAGGGTAAAAGGATTTTGATTTGTGACGACTTCAACGCACATTCCAAAATCTGGGGCGACCCAGACAATGACAACAGGGCAAATGCTGTACTGGAATTTGTAAACTCAAATGATCTACATATATTAAATAATCCTGACTCCCTGCCAACTTTCAAGGCGGGGTGGGTAAGAGCTGGATAGACTTGTCTATGTGTACAGGAAATGTTTTGCCTAAGATCAGATCGTGGGAGGTTTCCCCGCTCTGCAGTCTAAGTGATCACAGCTATATATTTATAAAACTTGGTTACCCGAGCTTAATAAGGAAGGAATGTGGAGATCAATACGCCATTGCAAAGGCAAATTGGACCCTCTTTCAATCCCTAATTGAAAAAGAAATGGACATTAAAAAACTCAAATGCTGTAGGACAAAACAAGAAGCTGAACAGTTACTCCAATAGATATTCTAGCTGCAACGGCTTGCAAATTAGTGGTGATTTGTACCGGCAAGGATGGGATGTGATTTGAAACTACAATAGCCACACCTCCACTGGCACGGTTGTGGCTATCATCATCCTTGCGGTAAAGATTGAATCCTTTTAAAGAAGTATTTTCTCCAGGTTTTAGATGAGTCTCTTGGAGTGCCACACAGAGAGATGAGGTAGATGACGCCAAGTGTTTAATGTCAGAGAAGTTGTTGCGGAAACCACGACAGTTCCATTGGATTATTTTATAATCCATTATGTGTTTGAGGCAGCATTCTTTGCATGAATATCCCTCTTTAATTTAATAGGGGGTTTCTCTTTTGGAGGTGACATTGGTTTTGTAACCTCCTTGTAGGTCTCTTCTTCAGAGAAGTCAGAACTCACTTATAGATTGAGCCTCTGATTTTTTAGATTTAGAGAGAGCAGCTTTCGCTCTCTGTTTGTTTAACGGGTTCTTACTTGCCTTTTTGGAACCCAGGTTTCTTGTTATTACCCCTGTTTTAGTTAGGGGTGTTTTCAGTTTTATATTTTCCTTTTCTGGTGTTTGGGTGGATGGTATAAGTAAACATTTCGCATGGCGTGTGAGAGATTCATTTGGGGGAACAGAAATATCTGTTTGAACCCCAATTGCCTTTGTAGACTTCAAAGCAGCT